ACTCCCTCTACTTCTGATAGGAGTGTAAACTTGTAAAAATCACTTTGAAAATCAATTTGGCAGCTTCTCATAAACATCAGAATAGTTCTATCTCAAGACCCAGCTATAAAACTCACAAACGCCAAGAAGGACCATACTGTGACGCGCGTGTAATCGTCTCGCCAGCAAGAACACACGCGGACACACATCAAGATCCTTCCTCAGGAAAACATTTATTCCAAAAACAAAATGGTGGAAGACCCCAGGCCCGGGAAAAGCACTGCTTATATACCCTTAGAGCGGTGTATTCACCTCTGATTGGCTGCTTACTCGTTGTGCGCCAAAACGCCGTGGGATGGGCTTTAACTTTGGCGGGCTTTTACCATGGCACATGCGCAATTTACTTGTTTACTAGGAAGAATCCCGGACTCCAGCACCATCTTGCAATGGCAGATTCTGCCAGCGCAAACGCGGCTTCCTACACCATACGAATTGTCTCTGTCCAGAGTTACTACTTAGCTACATTCTAAAAATAGTTAATCAAAAATTAGTCTGTTTCAGATGTACTTTCAAATTGTTTGTGATTGTGTACAGTCTTGCTTCAGAGTATCCACCTGTCGACTTACATTATTCATTCAATTAGATGCTTACCAAAATGAATGTCCTCCTCACTTGCTTCCATTTTCTATAAAACCTTGTGCCAAAGAGAGTTCAGGGCTGCTTCACCAAACCATCTTATGGGTCAGTGGTGAGTAAGCCCAAACTCTAGTTTAAAATAGAGCCCCTAATGTGATTGTGTCAAAGTAGGCTCCTTGGTGGTCTTTTTGGGTTAACAAATGCTTCCTGATACAATATTGGCATAAAAGCAGAATGATTGATCAATCAAATAGAATCTAAAACCCAGAAATAGACCCACACACCTATGGACAAGTGTTATTTGGTAAAGAAGCCAAAACTATATAATAAAAGATGAAAACATTTTCAAAAAATGGTTCTGGTCTAACTGGTTGTCTGCATGTAGAAGAATTCAAACAGAACAATATCTATCACCGTGCACAAAACTCAAGTCCAAGTAGATCATAGACCTCAACATCAAACTGAACACACTAAATCTAATAGAAAAGAAATTGGGGAACTGCCTTGAACTCATTGGCACAGGGGACAAATTCCTGAGCAGAACACCAATAGCTCAGGCTATAAGATCAACAAGTTTTAGACCTCATGAAACTGAAAAGCTTTTGCAAGGTTAAGGAACCATCAAAAGGACAAAACATTAGCCTACAGGATGGAAAAAGATCTTCACCAACCCTGCATCCAACAGAGGAATAGATAAATAAAGACCTCAAGAAATTGAACACCAACAAACCAAATAACCCAATTAAAAATGGAGTACAGAGATAAATAGAGAATTCTCAACAGAGGAATCTCAAATGGCTGAGAAGTACTTTAAAATGTTCAACATCCTTAGTCATCAGAGAAATGCAAATCCAAAAAAAAAACTGTGAGATTGTGAGATTTCATCTTACACCTGTCAAAATGCCTAAGATCAAAAGCTTAAGCAACACCACAGGCTGGCAAGGATGTGGAGCAAGGAGAACACTCTCCATTGCTGCTGAATGTGCAAACTTGTATAACACCTGTGGAAATCAATGTGACAGTTTCACAGAAAATTGGGAATAATTTTACCAGAAGATCAACTATACTACTTGTGGGCATATATCCAAAAGAAACCTCACTGTGCCACAGGGACACTTGCTCAACTATGTTCATAGCAACTTTATTTATGTAATAGCCAGAAAGTAGAAACAGCCTAGATGTCTCTCAACTGAAGAATGAATTGTGTAGAAGTGGTACATCTACACAATGAAAAACTATTCAGCTATCAAAACAATGACATTATGAAACTTGTAGGCAAATGGATGGAACTTGAGAATATTATACTGAGTGAGGTATCACTCAGAAAGACACATGGTATGTGCTCACTTATATTCGAACATTTGCCATAAAGTGAAGGATAACCATGCTACAATCCACACATCCAAAGAAACAAAGTAGTAAGTAGGACCCAAGGGAGGATGCATGAATCTCACTCAGAAGAGGAAACAAAACAGTCATCAGGGATGGATGGAGAGAGGGAACTGTATGGGAGAGGAGGTGAAAAGGGTATAAGGATGTTGATCAGGTGTGGGTGGGTGGGGCTGAAGAAGGCTGGGAGTGAGACTGGAATGGGAGACATCTCTGGGACAAGAAGGAGGCCTGAGATAAGGGAGGCAATGGGAATCTATGGGGGTGATCCTAACTGAGATTCCTACCAGTGGGGGAGTTAGAGACTGAAGTGGCCACCTTCTGTAACTAAGCACTACTTACAATTGAAAGAGGGGGACAACAACCCACCCGCAAATCTTTTAATCTAAAATTTGCCCTGCCTACAAGATGCACAAGGATAAAGATGGAGCAGAGCCTGAGGAAAGATTCAACCAATGACTGGCTAACTTAAGACTCATCCCATGGGAGAGAATCAATCACTATTAATGATACTCTACTATGCTGCAGACAGGAGTCTAGAACAACTATCTCCTATGAGGCTATATTCAGCATCAGATATAAATAGTGCAGAGATCCACAGCTGAACATCACACAGACCTCAGGCAGTCTTGTGGAAGTGTGGGGTATAGAATTGAGTGAACTGCAGGTGTCAAGGACATCACAAGATCTACAGAGTCAACTCACCTGGGCCCATTGAGATTCATGGAGACTGAACCACCAACAAAAGAGCATGCAGGGGCAGGACCTAGCCCCCCTACTCACATTTGTAGCAGATGTGTTCCTTGGTCTTCATATGGGTCCCCCGACAATTGGAGAGGCATCTATCTCTGACTCTGTTGCCTGCCATTCCCCTTCTCATACCTGGACTCCATGATTGGACCTCAGTGGGAAAGGAGGTACCTAGTAATGCTGGGACTAGATGTCCCAGGTTGGGGTGGTACCCAAGAGAGGCTTCCTATTCTCAGAGGGAGAGATTTGTAAAGGCAGGATTGGGAGGAGTGTGGGAGGATGGGCTGCAATTGGAATGTGAATTAATCAGGCTTCTCTAGAGTCACAGGACTTATGGAATGTCTCTATATATTAAGGGAATTTATTGTAATGATTTACAGTCTGTAGTCCAGTTAACCCAACATTGGGCAGCTGTGAATGGTAGGTTCAAGAATCTAACAGTTGCTGAGTCCCACAAGGCTGATTATTTCACCTGATCTTCTTTACAAGCTGAAATCTAGAAGAAGTAGGTTCCAACAGATGTGCTGACAAGTATAGTGCAAGCAGTCTAAGATGAGTGAGGCTTCCTTCTTTCAATGATTTTATGAAGGCCTCTAGCAGAAGGTGTGGCCCAGATTCAAGGTGTTAATTACCAGTCTTGGATCTGGAACTTGCTTTATCCCAGGCTGACCATGAACTCAGAGATCTACTTGCCACAGTCTCCTGGGATTAATGGCATGAACTACCTTGCCTGAGCCTAAACGTTTCACGGCCACTATGTCTCAAGATCTCCCTGTCAAGATCCAGGTTCGAATCCTGTATCTTCCAGCCTCAGGATCTAGATCACAGGTGTGCCCTCCATTTCTGGATTGTAGTTCACTTCAGATGTAGTCAAGTTGACAACCAGTAATAGCCTCATGATCCATCCCTTGTCAACTCGACACAAATCATGTCCAAATCAAACAATGACTAGGTCATAAATACACCTAACATGATATAACTATCCCTAGTATAATCACACACACATTGTAAATTTAAGTTAATGTCCCTTAGGAACTTATATACTGATTGATATTCTCTTAATTGATGTTAAAGAAATTAGAAGAAAACACAAATATCTATACAAATATGTTCTTAACAAAGTAATACAGAATCATTCATAGCATATAAATCCTCATTTTTGTAGCTGTTTATGTGGCCTTAGATGGTATTCATAACTATCTTTCTCCACTACCCATTCTGTATTTTTTCAACCCTCTGCAAACACATCAGCAGGTCTTGGCACTTTTCCTAGAGTGAACCATACCTTCATTCCTGATAGGTCTTCTTCGTCCTTTGTCATCCCTCTTGGATTAAGTTATTGTAGTTTCCCATTGACTTTAATTACAGGACATGGTAGTAATAAGAAACACCCTAAAGGATCTCCTGCATTCCAGACATAATTCTTCTTACCTCTATTGTGGAGAGGCAATCCAATTTCCCCATGATAATCTAACTCTATGACCACTCCAAACACCGTAATTCCTTTCTTAGTCTATTGGTTTAAAGGCTTTAGAAGCCTGAAAGTAAAGACCAGGGGGATGTCTGAGCTTTCAGTTCAATGGAATATTTGTTTTCTGAATTATAGTTCATTCTAGATGTAGTCAAATTGACAACCAGGAATATCCATCACAGAATGTAATTTGAATTTTAAAAAATATGAGAACAAGAGAAACTTTTGAAAAATTAAAAAACAAAATAAGCAAACAAACAAACAACAATAAAAGCCCTTTCTCTCCCTCTAGATCTTAATAAAAGCGCTCAGCAGCAGACATTGCAAAGTCTAAATGCTACAGTATCTTGGTATTTCCTCTACCAAGGAAATACACACCCCAAGCATACACAGGACACTGGCCACTCGCAGCTAGTCTTGTGACCAGAATGAAGCCAGAATGGCCTGTAGCCCAGTTCCCAGTGAGGTCCTTGTTTTCCTCTGAAACTCTGCTGTCCTTGCTGTACTGTATTTGTCTCAGCCTTCTGGTCTCTCAAACCACATATGCACTAAGTGTTCTTACAGCACTCTAGGGCTTGCCTATCCCAAGGCTCCATGCCCTTCCACATCCCTCTTACATCCCTCCATTTCATGGGCTGCAGAATGACAAGGTCAGGTCTCTCAATGTCTCCCTAGAAAATGGTAGTTACTCACCATTTCAGTTAACCCTTTGTGCACCAGGGTCTAGTCAAACCCAAGTTTCTTTGCATGTAAGAAAAGCAACTCAAATGCTTCATAATTTTAATCTGCACAGTGTTTATTATCAATGCAATTTTTCCTCATACTTTTTCATATGAAAACCCACTTGTCAGTTATTACAAGACCTCTTTGTAACAAATTATCTGTAGTGTACAACTGGAATACAGTTGCCAGTGTGTCTCTATTTGACCATGTTTTTTTTTTTTTTATTTACTTACATCTTTTCTTGAAACAATTTCACTATATTCTGACTGGTTTCCCTTTTTATTATATAGATTATGTCAATGAAAATTGATGGGATTTATGGATGCCAGACCCTTACATTCTTCAATCATTGCTTTGTATCTTTAACTTTGAATATAACTGGTAATGAACTGACACAGAATTCAACTCTAATGAAGCAGTGTCTGATAATTTAGCTATTAATGGAAGTTCTGACCTTCTTTGTAACACAGGTTATTAAACTAGCACATGCATTTAAAAATCAAGGCATAGAGTTTGGTATCAAAATAATAGAAGCCTGACCTTCCCAGAAACTCTTCAGACTACTTTATAAGTGAGCTGAGGACTTTTAGCCCTGTGCCGCATAATTTACCAGCTCCTGGTAAAACCATAATGAATGCATTGCCAACTGTGTCAAGGATGTGAGCAAACCCTGATGATTGCTTTCTTGTTCTTTCAATCTCGTCTCTCAGTTGACTGATTTCATTCTTTAACATATCAGATTTCTTTCTGAATCCTTCAGTAAGCAGTTCTTCTTGGACCTGCAAAAGAAAAATGTGCCATTATTTTCAGGCAGAATTTTGTATTTCTTAACTTTGTCTTAAGTACCATTACCTACTTCTCTACCACCTCAGAAGGGTCCTTGATAGTTCAAGACATTCACATATATCAATAGAAACACCCACGATTTATACATATATAGAAGGGATTACTCAGCACCTCCTTATATAGAGTGAAGAATTTTGTTTCAATATCCACCAAAAATTGCCCTGTGGGAAAGACTGTAGATAAAAGGTGAACTAAAATTGACTTTCAATTCCAATGAGAAGATATCTCTTTGATTATTTAACAGATAATGGGAAAGCTGACATTGTATATAAAACACTAGTTATTAAACTCCAGCATGGGATAGGGTGGATGGAGAAGGCATGGAGATAAATAGAGCAATTTATAAGATTACATTATCCTTTATTTTATTGTATCATTTTATTTTTCAATTAAATTAATTACTCTGTCTTTCTTTGTGCATGTGTAAGCACATGTGTAAGTGTGCAAACATGCATGTGTTTGTACATATCCCTGGAGGCTTGACGTTGATTTTTTTATATCTTCTTTAACAGCTTCCACCTTATTTTTTTTATAAAATGTATTTACTTTTATTTTACATGTTTGAGTACTTTGCTTGCATGAGGGTGTACTATGTGCACGTGTGATGCCCCTGGATATGAAAGAAAGGTATCAGATCTGAAATTCTAGGTTTGGACCACATACATTACCATGTTCTTGACAGGAACTAAACTCAGGTCCTCTGAAAGAATAATAAGGGCTCTTAACAACTGTGCCAACTCTACATCCTCATTTCAAAGATAACATCTCTCCTCAGCTGAAGAGCTAGCTGGTTCTACTAGGCTGGCTGGCTAGAAAGCCCCAAGGATCCTCCTGTCTCGCCCCAAAAAAGTGCCAGTGTTGCTGGCACATGTCACTTCTTCCAGAGTTTTACCTGGGTTCTGAGAATCCTAATCAGCTCCCTGTGTGTGCACAATGAGAGGGTTACTGACTTAGCCATCTCCCAACCCCATCCTCCTGTTTTATACTACTGTAAGTCTGATACATTCACAGTAGGTGGGCCAACCTCATGTCTCTTTGAAGGTTAAGCCTAGAATCCTAAAGACTAGTGGGAAGGATCAAGTGTAGCTCAAGAAGACCCTCCAAGAAACTCACCAAACACCAGATCAGAACCCTGGGGGACACTATCTGTATACTCCAAATCTAACCCTACACAGATGCTGACAGCTTGTGTGTTCACAGGTTTCAGTAAGAGGAAAGTGGACTTTGATATAAGGTTTGCAGTTGAAGTCACAGGCTCAAGATTAACACTTCCCTTCCCAGTCAGTCACAGCACCATGTCTGGCTCTGCCAAGGCCCATCTACTTCACCTTCAGCTTGTGCTCCAGCATGTTCTCCTGCTCCCTCAGCAGGATCTCCCTTTCTCTCTCCATCTCCTCCTGAAGTCTAGCAATGTTTTCTCGGAAACTTCTCTCCTGAGCCTCCATTACTTGCTCTTGCTCCTTCTGTCTCTGCCTCAGCAGCTCTCGTTCCTTCTCAGCCACTTCCTTCTTTGTCTGCTCAGCTGTTCCACAGATGTTTGAGAAAGGGAAGTAATCACAGTCAGAATGTAGCTAGGGCTTGTAGGGAAACCTCTGAGAACTCCCATTAGCCAGGCCAGCATCACTGTGATCCCTAACACAATGGAAATGTACTAACTGACTGGACATACAACATAACACCAAATTCTTTACTGTTTCCACATCTAGGAGAAGTCATGCTGGCATGGTCCTTCCTCCTCAAGGACCTTCCTGCACATCAGTCAGACAACTTTCCAGAAAGTACCCACCCCTCCAACAGTTGAACTCTCTACCCTACCTGCTATGGCCCTCTCTCCATCTGTAATAGCCTTGTCTGACTGCAAGATGGAGTCCTCCATAATAGCCTGTGATTGTAAGAAACTCTTAAGAACCTCTTTTGCCTGGGAACCCAAGACAAAAAAAAATCATAATTTAGACAGTAAAAATACAGTCTTCTGCTGAGGTACTTATTGACCAATAAAACTTTTAGTCTTTTGAGTCTTGTCATATAATATTTAATTCCATGGTCATAACCAAAAATTCAAGCTCTTCCTGGGTATGAAAACCCTCTGCCTCAGCCTCTTTGCTAGCTTCACAGTCTCCCTTCCCAGAGATGCTGCCCACCAGCTGCCCTAGGATACAGCTCCAGTCACAGTTACATGCAATTCCAATGATGTATAGCCTCCACTGTATACCATGCTTGGATATATTTTGTCTCCTACCTTCATGGGTGTCCCAGACTTTATAGCTAAGGTAACAACTACAGATATGTTACTTCAGATCTCAGATGGCCAATACTTGTATTTCTACGCCACTTTCTTAGTCTCTTTACTCACCTTCATCATATTATTAACAAATGAAAATTGTTCCTGTTTAATCCACACAGCATAATTTTTGATTGACCATAATCGGTTAAGTAATATAATTAAAGAAATTTGTGTTTCAGTTGCTTCAAATAGATCAAAAGCAGTATTTGTCTTTGTGTTTAAGGCTTATTTCCATGAACATAATGTCTTCTAGATTCATTCATATTTTCACAATTGGTAGCATTTTTAAGGTTGAATATTATACTAATATGAAACAGTATACTATATACTAATATGAATATACTAATATGAAATAGGTGACAAATGATATATGATGATGATGGCAGATATATTAGATAGATAGATAAGTATATAGATAGATGATAGATAGGTAGGTAGGTAGGTAAATGATAGATTATAGAGAAATAGATAGATGATAGATGATATGTATGTAGATAGATAGATGATTGATAGATGATAGATGATTGATAGATATATGATTGATAGAAGATAGATAGATAGATAGATGATAGATAGATAGATAGATAGATGATAGAGATAGATAGATAGATAGATAGATAGATACAGATAGATGATAGATAGATAGATAGATAGATAGATGATAGATAAATAGATGATAGATAGATAGATAGATAGATGATAGATAGAGATAGAAAGATGATAGATAGATAGATATAGATAGATGATAGATAGATAGATAGATAGATAGATAGATAGATAGATAGATAGATATAGATAGATAGATGATAGATAGATAGATAGATAGATAGCAACAGATAGATAGATAGAGATAGATAGACAGACAGATAGAGAGATAGATAGATAGATAGATAGATAGATAGATAGATAGATAGATATAGATAGATGATTGATAGATGATAGATGATTGATAGATATGTGATTGGTAGATGATAGATTGATTGATTGATTGATTGATTGATTGAATAAGCACTTTTATTAATTAGTAGTCAAAGCAGCATGGCACTGGCATAAAAACAGACATACAGAGCAATAGCAGAGAACTGAGCCAAGACATAATGAAATTACATCCTTGTATTACACTTACCACACAAGAAACTGAAAACGGATTAAACACTAGACCTGGAACTTTAAAACTCTTAAAAGTAGGGGAAAAGCCACGTGGCATGGGCTTTGTGTTGGTGTTTTAGATTTAACAGGAGAAGCACAGATACATAGAGGTGAGAGGCCCGGCAACGGTAAGCTTTCCGTACAGTGAAGGGAGGAGCTGATAGGATGAAAGGGGATACACAGAATGAGGGAAGATGTCTCAAGCTGCACAGTGATAAGGAGTTAATATGTGAAAAAGACGAAGAATACACACAACACAACAGGGAAAACTAGCATGCTTAAAAAACATGTAATTATCTTGAAAAGATATTTCTTAAAATAAAGAATTCAAATGGCCAGCAAGTATTTATACTCTGCATTACTAATCCTTTGTAAAATAACAAATCAAAACCACAACAGGGTGTCACCTCACTATTGTGACCATGCCTATTATCAAGACCTCAAAAGTTTTGGTTGAGTTTGAGGAAAACAAAGGAACCTTTATGGATCTCCTAATGAAAGGAAACCAGTTGCAGTCATGATGAAAACAACATAGATTCCTTAAAAGGTGGAATTCTGAGATTCTATTGGCTGACCTTACAAATCGTCCAGTGAGCAGCTCTGTGGCCATAGCCACCAGGTGAGGCCATCCATGCATCACATTTGTCTAACACCTGAGAGTGGAAAACATTGCTGGTTCATTTATTTATCATGAGAAGTAAAGACTGGAATTCCAGCCAAGTCACCGAAAATGAACTCTCAGGCCAGATCCGAATGCTCAGTGTCTGCTACCCACAAACTCATCTTCACCTTGGTTACCTCTACTGGTACCTAGCAGTGAGCACTCAGCTGAGTTCTGTAAGCCATTGCCTCTGTTGTTTCCCACCTTCACTCCCTTCCTCGGCACTTGCTTGTAGCCCAGTTCAACCTTCTTCCTGGCTTCTAAATAGAGACTGTGGCCCCCAGGGACAGAGAAAGGCCCACATGAGATGCTCTCCATCAATGACTCTGAAAGCTTCTCCAGTTCAGCCTGGCAGTGACAGATAGATGCTGCTTCATTCTGTAGCATGAACCCTTCCTTCCTTTCCTCTATGGTGACCTGCCGAATGAGTAGAAGACAAAACCATCTCTTAGAAGGAAAGTGCCGCTGTGATTGTCCAGAAGTGACTGGAGACTGCAAAACGATGAGGAGGATCAGGAGATCTGCTTTAGCCCCAGTTGGGTTAATTCTGAGAGACTTCAGGAAGTCTGTCAACTTCCTGGAGTTCATTTCCAGCAGCTGTGAAATCGACTTGGAAGATGCAAGTTTAGTTTATTCAGAAACACAGATCTTACTGAAGAACAAAACAAAGGTAATTTTTTCTTTTGTTTAATGATATTCCTCTGAGAATGGAGGTGGATGTGGCCAACAAACCAATTGTTCACAGGTAAGGGTACACTTATCAGGGTTTTGAAGCCTCTTAATTCTCTCAATAATTATTTGAGTGTCAGGATGCTGGAATAGTTATGTTTTGATTCTTTATGTGTGTGTGTGTATGTGTGTGGTATGTGTGGTGTGTGGTGTGTGGGTGTGGTGTTTGTGTGTGTGCATGTGTTCATAAGTGATAATCTTGATTAATCTTCTCAATATGAACTAAGACTTTTGTCCTCCAGGGTTCAAATTCAGATGATAGGAAGACTAGCGCCTTTCAGGGAATCTACCTTTGGCCAGGTGGGTCATGGTTGTCCCCTGAGAGTTGTTCCTCGATGAAAACACTTTTATCAACCTGGGCTAATGAACATAACGGATAGTACTCCTATGCTGTTACTAATGATACATGACGATAGTAATCCTATTATTATATAGCACAGGGTGACCTAGTGTCACCCTTCAAAATGTAAGTTTCATCTGGATGTGGCAGAAAGAGAAATCAGAACATTTAGAAACAAGAACAGGGTTCAGCCCAGTGCTTCCATGTTTGCTGGTAGGTGGAGAGGGCTAAGTCTATTTGACAACACAGTTTTTTGTTTGTAGTCCACTGAGCAGAAACTCACACACCCATGCTTCACTTTAAACTTTGAGCTAATAAGCGGCATATTTTCTCAAGGTATTTAGCACATGATCACTTGTTTCATAGCAATAAAAGTAAATAAAACTCTATTGTTTTGAGAAAGGGCACATTTTAGCACAATGAGTCATGTTACCCATAGAAATTCCAATGAGAAAGATGCAGATCTTGAGATAAGAAAAGTAATGTCTAGGGGCCCTCGAAGAAGTGCATGAATCAGGAAAAACAAATGCTAAGATGGATTACCACCAGCCTCTTCTGGAACTCCCACTCATCATCCTTGAAGGAGTGCTCCATGAAGACAGCTATGGCTTCCTTCTCACAGGCTGCATGCACATCCAGCAGCTCCTGGAGCGTGTCTGTGGGGAGTCTCATTCGCTGGGCCATCTGCTCACTGTAGTGGTCAGCTGCCTTCTGCACTGCTGTGGAATTCTCACGTTGGGCCAAGGTCATCACTGCATTCTACAGACAAGGAACAGCCCAACTGTTGATGGCTTCCACATAGGTCTGCACCAAAATCCTCAGCCCTGAGAAAAACATCATTAAGAAATAGAAGCTTTCCAAGGCCAGCCTGGTCTATAGACTGAATTCAGAACAGTCAGGGCTACACAGAGGAAGCCTGTCTAGAAAATAGAATAAAATAAAATAAAATAAAATAAAAATAAAATAAAATAAAATAAAACAGCAAAATAGAATGATTGTTCTCAATAATTGTTGCTATAAGCTTTAGGTCTAGCATTATTTAAAGCATCATAATTCTATTTATCTTGACACTTTCTTCCCCTCTTATGTCTCTCATTTCTTCTGTTCTCATTTCATGCCCTCTTGGAATCAGTATCTATTTAACAATATCAATATCTTTCCTTTGTAGTTCTCAAATTCAATTCATAAAAAATAATCAGTGATTATAAACAAGAGGTTTCAAGGTTTCTTGGGAAGGGAACTCTACCATATAAATAAAATCAAAGTTGGTTTGAAGGAGAAAGTACAGTTCAGCTTTTGTGAAACCAAATTCCAAATGAAAATTCAATCAGAAGAAATGAAATAAAAACCACCATCAGATATTTGAACACAGAATATAGAACACTGAAGAAAGTATGGACACATTTCAGGGGCAAAGCAAAGCTACACACGCAGAGTGTCTATGAGGATTGGTATATTTAAATTGGTTTCTCCAATTGCATAGGTCTCCTGCCCTGCTATGTTTGGACTGGTGTCAGCCCATAAATAATCTGTATAATCAAACTGAGACCCTCTTCCAGGGACCCCAAGTCATCTTGCAGATTTCTCTCCGGTCAACTGATGTTAGTTATGTGAGATCTCCAAGACCTCCATAAACACTCATATACAGAAAGTTCAGGTATGGAACATGTATGCATGGTATGCACATTTGTCTCTGCATATTCCTTTACATGAGCAAACAAAAATGTTCAAGACTACAGAATAATCACCACCTCATCACATACTCTAAGCCACAGAGAATGCTTGTGATAAAAGAAACTCACGACTTCCTGTGACAATGACTCCCCCTCTAAGAGTCTTGGTCTTGCCATTGGCGAAGATGTAGGAACAGAATTTCTTTGATTCAACCTGGAAATTCCATTCCAGTTGGTTTTCTGGGACATTTTCAATTTGGAATAATAAACTTTTATCGCTTGTGGGCCTGTCAAAGACAAAGCACTTTCGTACCGGAAAAAAAATATCTGATACACTCTCTGGTCATGTTGGCCTTTTGGACTTTGGGATTGTTTCCTGGAAAAAACCAAAACACTCATTGAAGAGAGCACTGGAAGATAATCTGATTGACAACTTTCCAAGAATGTTTTCAAGGCTGTAACTGCAATGCTTGTAAGTCTCCCTTCCACTGACTGGCTGCACCAACAGTTTTTAAACTACCCAGGGCATTTAGAGACTTCATAGCTTAAGTCATTGTACTGGACATGTCATTGTTTTGCAGAGAGACTCTGTGTTATAAATTAACTGTTTATAGATGAATGAATAAAAGACAAATATTGATTGTAGGTACTTATCTCTCCTACTAAATATAGTTCATGTAATGAGTTTGTAATATTAACATACCAGCACACTGCATAAGGATGGAAGGTGAAATTTTAGTGAAAAATAAAATATTTCTCATTAGTAGAAACATATGTCTATTCCCCCACCCCCATCCACCAAGAGGTAAGTAGTCTATACACCTACATCTACTTAAAAGTATAACTTCTTGAGCTAGTATGACATTCTGAGTAAGAAATGTTTTTAAAATTAGGTCAAGAGATTTTCTCGTAATTTTAGGTTTTCTTACTTCTTTGTTTGGTGAACGATCTTCTCGAAGTAGACTGAGAAGAATATATAAATTAATAGGTAACAAGTAAACAAGGCTTAGGAAATAATGAAATCAATTGTAATCCTCCCCTGTTTTTTGTTTTATTTTAATTTTTCTAATGTTAATGGGTATAAAATAATTTATCATGACATGTTCTCAGTCACAGTGGGTTTAAATAGCATTGAGACACTTTCAATTAGTAATGATTGTCCAAATTATGGACACTTGTCAATTGTCTTCACCATTAACAAGAGTTTCGATGCTGTCTCAAGCAAGAGATGTCAATTGCTGAGCCCTGCTCAGCTGTTCCGAACTTCCCTGGCCCACTGATACCTGGAGTCAGCTTCAGGGTGTTCTCCAGGTACTCATCTTCTGTGATGCACTGACCATCTAACTTCAGCTCCAGAACAAAATCTCAAACAGTCCAGATAAAGTCTGGGAAGAACCCTACAAACTGGCTAGAGTCCTTCACTTTATCTTCTCTTGGGCTCGAGTTTGCCCTGATTAGCTGTGTTAATTCAGTCACATAGCTGGGATTGTAGTTAAGGATCTGAAACAAAATACCTTCCAGGTCTCATGTAGACTCAATTACTAAAAATAGTCCCCTTTTGACTGGAGAGATGGCCCAGTGGTTAAGAGCACTGCCTGCTCTTCCAGAGGTACTGAGTTCAATTCCCAGCAACCACATGGTAATGGGATCTGATGACCTATCATGATGTATCTGAAGAGAGCTATAGTATACTCATCTACATAAAATAAATAAATATTTTTTAAATAAAAGAAAAAGAAAGATAAATAGACCCCTTTGTCCTATGCTTACTCTAATTCAAGACTTACTGACTTAACCTTACAGGCAGTAAGTTGCCTTCTTCCTACACTCAAGGAAATATGGCAATTTGGTCCCTGGAAGGATACTGCAGCTGCTCCAGGGCCTGGTGGTTGATGGTACTCATGCTGTTGTAGACAAAGGTGCTGCTCAGAACCACGGCCAAGGCAAAGATCCATGAGTCGTTCTTAGGATCACCCTGGAGAGCATAAAAGGGCAAGCACATTAAGAGTCACATATTCATTCATTCATTCATCCATCTAAATGTCCAACTGTTTACTCATTCTTTCAGATACACTATTAGTGACTCTAGAACAAATAACAAAATTTGAAGATAATGTTTCATTGATCCCTCTCAGGGCATTTGCTCCTCTAGCAACTAAATTAACTGGTAAAGTTAGGATATAGCTCAGTGGTAGGTGCACAAAGCCATGGGTTTAGTTCCCACAATTGACTGATAAAAAGACAAGATATTCAATGTGTATAAAATATTTCTTAAGTGCCTGGAATATAGTAGGCAGTGAAAAAATAGGCAGCTATACCTTTATAAATTTTTTTTAAAGATTTATTTATTTTACTTATGAGTACACTGTAGCTGTCTTCAGACACACCAGAAGAGGGCATCCAATCTCATTACAGATGGTTGTGAGCCACCATGTGGTTGCTGGGATTTGAACTCAGGACCTCTGGAAGAGCAGTCAGTGCTCTTAACCACTGAGCCATCTCTCCAGCCCACCTTTATAAATTTTATCTCAATTATAGACACAAACTCCATTTCATTAAAGGTAACTCTTCGTTTTACCTCTGACAATATGCAGGGAAATGTTTTGGGGCTAGCAATTTCCACGTGGTTGCCTTCTGAAAAATCACTTTTTGCAACAGCAAATAAACTTGTAAACATATAAATACAACGACAATGTCAATTTCTACCAGGAAAAGAGCCAAAATTATAAACAACAAAAACAAGCAAACAAAAAGCAACATAGAAAGTCACATGGTTGTCATGGGGGGAAGTTAATCTGAGGATTTAGAACAAGATGTCATTGTATTAGAGAAGACACTACCTCACCTTTTCTACATCTCCAAGGCCCTCTGTGTCCAGAAGGACCAGGGTGTGGGTTGGCTTGGTGGGATGGGGCACACACCATATCCAAATGCCCTTGGTTTCAGATTGTTCCGTGGAGCCCAAGGAGAAGCCTAAAGAGAAGAGGAAAACAGAAAAGGGTCACAGCAGGAAGACAGGGCTAGTAGAGTGCTGAGACTATTTCAAGGAAAGGGGTTGCTGTCATTTCAGCAAGGACAATTAATTTAGTATATAATCTGTATATAACAGATGCTTTCAAGAAACACTTGGTAATGTCTGTTTGTCTCATTCTTGCAACTTTTCAAAGCAGACTGTGTTATAGAGTTAGTTTAGACTCTATTGGAGTGTTTTGATCTGAGTTCAAAGATATCCAAATATGTAGAGTTCCACAATTGAGAAACAGGAGTGAATGGCCACATAACTGGCCTGAGTTCCCTTGGCTTTGACCCTAGTGAGCTTTAGCGTGCCCTGGGCCTATTGCTTGACCACTGGTCACAGTTCCCTTCATGTAGTTCCAGTCAGTATTTCTCTTGCCACATGTCAGCACTCAATCTTCACTTGCTTCTTTCAAATAAGGAGCTAACTCCTACCTGGCCATTCTGACTGCCATTCCCTAGGTATTTGCTCACACCTCCTGGTTCCCTTCGCCCCGCTATGCTGCTGTGAGCTGTGCTACCATATCCTCCCATTACTCCATGAGTGGGTGCTAGAGTTGAGATCTGGAACATCAACGAAAGGCTGATGACTTCAAGGCTTGCCCCACACAATGATGAAGGGAATAATTGTGGAAACTTTGAGAAGTGAGGCCAAGTGGAGGTCTTCAGGTATGCCTTTAAAGGACGCTGTAGAATACTGTATGTCACTTTGATATTGCTGGTGTTGTAGCTGATGCTTTCTTAACGCCTGACTCCAAATTAACAGAGTAATGCGGCTCTGTCATAGGCTTCCTGCTAAACTGTACTGCCGTTCCCACCAGGCCCATAAGCACTGGGGCCAATTACGGAGGACTGGAAGCCTCTAAGCACAGTCAGTCAAAACAAACCTTTGTCATTGCCAATGGTTTCTCCCATGCATCTGGCATGGTGATGGACAGCTGGCTGACATAGTGGGCGCCTCTCTCCTGCCAGGCCCCTGATGGGCACATTACCCTTTGTTCATTTTTTGATGTCCCTTCCTCTGAGGAATGATAGGAACCAGGAGGAGAGAGGGGGAGAAATGAGAAAAGGAAAGATTATAGGGACGAAGCTGGGGGGGTGGGGTGCTCAAAATTATTTTATCCATGCATGAAAATGGCCATATATAATGCAATATAGCAAAAGAGCAAAATAAAGCTTTAATAAGCTTTAATAAGGTTTAGCAGGAAATACAAAACAAAACAGCAAAGCAATGCCCCCTGACCCACTCCCGACCAAGATGGGATGATAGCCCGGTTTGGATGTTGGATATACGAGGACCATATTACACATCCTTCAGCCCACCTATTTATTAATAGGACAGGTGGGACAATAGTCATACTTGACATGTGCTTGTGGCTTGGGCAAAGGTACAGAGGGAGAATGAGTGCTTTTGGTTCAGGTGCTGATCAGGCCAGAGTAGCTGAATGAAGAGGAATGTTGCTGTAAATCTTTTCATGAAGTTGGGAAACTACTAATACTCAGAAGAATGTGATTTTTTTGTAAGTTAAGAAATTATAAATTTTATGACAAGAAGGGAAGTTTTCACTCCTGAGAGCGATTAGACTCTTCCATGAGATCCCCCTAGAAAAGAGTCCTCAGTTCTACAGGATGCTACTCCAAGCAAACGGTCCCTTACACACCCAAAGCACACTCACCATGGTTCTGTCCTGCGAGACGATTCATGAGGTAGGACTTTCCTGTACGATATAAACCAACAATGGCCACCACCACCAGAGGCTGAGCTATCTGCTGAAGAATCCTTATGGCCTCCAGATTTACTGTCAGCTGCTTTTTCAGTTTTTCACCAGACAAATGGGTGCCTCCATGGTCAACTCAGAGGCCGCAGCACCCTGTAACTCAAAACAGTCACTCACTGAGATATGGGATCTTGAAGTCGTCTCTTGTAACTCATTACTCAAGGCAGGCACAAGGCAGCTTTTGTTTGTGCAGCATGTATCTAAATGTCTGTATGTTTCTAAAGCGGAAAATGAGTTCGACTTTTCCAAACCTCTTACAGCAGTTTGCAAACAATATCTTACAGTATTCCCCAGCGTTTTAAAGAATACCGTGAGAAAACTCAGTCACTGATGTCAAAGACTGAGAACACTCGGTTTTTGCAGGAAGTGAGGAAAAGTTACAAAGTGGTCAGGAAGGTTTCCTAGCATTCTGAAAGAATTTGAAGTCCGATTCAGTATATGAAGTCTACTGTCCGAGTATTGCACACTGCTTTAGGTGGCTGTTATCAAAGAATAAACACAATGAGTGCAAATTTCTGCCTTGGTGAGACTCTGTTCAAATGATAGAAAAAATGAAGCAGAGAATGAACATACACACAAACACACACACACACACACACACACACACACGCACAGGCACTCGCGTGGGCGGAAGTATGCACCTTTGAATAAAATAAGTATAGAACGAGGTAGGGATATTGGAGGTTGAATTCAGATAAATGAAACAGGACTAACTCCTGGATGACTCTTGGTTGGATCCTGGGTCCTAGACAAGGCTTCCTTCCCAAGTTCCCACCACCAAGGATGGGACATGCTCATGGGCTCCCAAGCCAGGGGTTGAAGACCCAAGAAAATCAGTACTTGCACGCTTGGGCCACGAGGAGGCGCTCTGCAAAGGGCCACAAGACCCTGTGAGGTCTGCAGCTGGCAGGGGCTCGCCCACCAGGGTGAGCCTGTGATTCCAGCTTGGAGGCAACCCAGGAATTTCGCCCGCCTGTCTGTTGAGAGAAACACATGTGATGACTCACCCAAGCGCTGGCTCTGAAACAGGGACAGTCCTCAGCCAACTTAGTTCATTCGCTGAGCTTCCCTACTCCTCCAGGCTCCTGAGAGCAGCCTCTGTTGGAAGTGGCAAAGTGACACCCACCCAAACACAAACTGAGATAAAGGGAACCGAAATCGAAACAACACTCCTTGCCCAATGACTCAGTCATGGGGATTTGAGCAAAATAACAGTTTGTGACCTGTGCTAAGCTGAGCAGGAGGAATTTCCCAGATACGTCCAGACTTTCTAAAGTTATCACCATGCCATATCTTGCAGATTGAGGCTGTTTCTTTTTTTCCTAGAGTGTATTCCATCACTGATACTAAAAAAAGGAGAAAACAGAATCCCACTTGGCATATAAGTCTGTCTGTATACTCCCTATGGCACACTACTAATCAGTGATTGTCATTCAGAGCTCTGGGTCCCTGGGGTCTCTTGGATTTAGACTGTTACAGCAGCATGGTCCTCTCCTCCTTCCCCTCCACACATTTCAGAGGAAATTCTTCCTCTCAGATGGAGCAGGAGAAAATAGTAGAGCCATTATACAGCCCAAACTCAGGCTGTGTATTCTTGCCAAAACAGATGACTGCATTTCCCCCAGCAGAGAAGCCCTTTCTCCTCCCTTTCCTGTGTTTTCCAGGGATCAGGGAAATAGAAACCGAAATGGTGTCCTGACAAGCTTTGTTTAGAGAGTCAAAGATGATTGCTCAAGCCCTGGGTATTTTAGTCTTTTTGTTAAAGAAAAACAGTCCCCAGTTTCCTCAAAGTGTTCATCTCCTGTCAGCTCCCTGTTAGACCCTTTACCCAAAGCTTCATAAAGATGGTGAATTATAGAGATGGCCATTGTTTGTAGTTTAGCATATGGATGGCCATTGTTTGCAGTGCAGCCTGCTTGGGAAGGACAACCATGATTCTGGCAGGTCTGTCAGTAGAGCTAACAAATCTGGATCATTTTTTCCCCACCTTGACTGACAGAAAGTTCCCAGTGTGCTTCGCCTCTCATTCTGGGGTCTCACACTACTCTCTTTCTTTTTGGCCATTTGTCCAATACAAGTGTTCATTACTATTTTACAAATCCAAACTTCCAAATCCTCCCAATACTGATTTTTTTTTTTTTTGGAGTTCTGACATCAAACCACAAGTAGAAAATTCTATTTTATGAACGTTTCCATTTTTCACGAGTTATTTAAAATATTGTATGTGTGAGCTGGGCATGGTAGTGAACGTATATATCAGGAAGTGGAGGCAGGGGACCGAGGAGTACAGGGTCATCCTTAGCTATATGTTAAGCTTGAGGCTAGCTTGGGCTACATGAGATTTTGTCTCAAAAATCAAATCTATATAATCTTAGGTTGGGGTGGGGGTGGGGTTCATGTATGCTATGTTGCCAGTGCTTAGACTGCTCCATGTATAAAACCTCTCTTTTTCACTTATTTTGGGGTGTAATTGTGTTTGCTACTGCATATGCCATGCTGGGTGGCCTATGAGTTTGCAGGGATTCCCCCATCTCTGTCTCCATCTCACCCTAGGAGCAATGGGATTAGAGATTTCACATGGGCTACAGAAATCCAAACTCAGTGTCCCTTGAGGGTGAGGCCAAAGCAGACCTAGATGTGCAAAAAAAAAAAAAAAGACTTCCGCCCTGTAGTAGACAAAAGGATAACAACTTGAATTTCCAACAGGGGGAAAAAACCACTCCAACATCACATGCATTAGGGAAATCACCTTCATCCCTTCATCACCTTTAGTGAGTGTGCTGGTACACCCATGCCCAATAACCAAAAATAAAGATCAGTTACCCCAGCTCTTTCATAATACAGATATTATGTAGGCGGCATGAAAAACAGGCCACAGCCAGACTGATGTATGGGTTAATAGAGTCCCAGGTGAGCTACAACAGATACGATTGTATTATTAACTGCATACACGTTATCACTAACTATCCCTAAGGCTGCTTAGGTTGAAGTCCTTACATAATAAATACGAGTATCTATCAGAGCTCTTTTTTTCCTTGGTCATAGAAATGACTACATCTCCCTACTGGATCAACAAGGCAGACCATGTGACTTGCTATGTAAATTAGTTGTGAGTGAAAGGTACAGAGTTACTAATGGCATTTCAGATTCTCACTAGTCCAGCTATCCCTTCCTTACAACCCACGGAGAGACGGAAGGCTCATATACAAATTGCTCCATTCAACTGATCACAGAAGGAATGAACACAAAACTTACACTTGACTCTAACCCAAAACCTACTGTATGACTCTGCAGCTAATTGAGTTACATAAAAACAGAAATACACAATGTTAACATTCTGTCTAAACTCCACCCCCACAGTTACCTGACAACAGCTAAGTAGGCCTGATCTACTATAAAAGGGGCTGCCTGTCCCCATCCTCTCTCTCTTGCTGTCTCTTGCTCTTGCTCTCTTGATCCCTCTGTCCCCTCACCCCTTCCCCCTTCTCCCCTCTCCATGCGCTCATGGCCAGCTTCTACTGTTCTCTTCTTTTCTCCTCTTCTTTCCTCTTCTCTCCTCTCCTCTCCTCTCCTCCTCTCCTCCTCCTCTCTCTCTCTCTCTCTCTCTCTCTCTCTCTCTCTCTCTCTCTCTCTATCTCTATCTCTATCTCTATCTCTATCTCTGTTTCTCTCTCTCTCTCTCTGCTTCTTTCTGACTCTACTACCCTCCTGCCTCTCCGCTCCATGCCCTGAATAAACTCTATTCTATACTCTACTGGTGTGTGGCTGGTCCCTTAGGGGGAAGAAATGCCTCAACATGGGCCCTGCTGAGACATCCCTTTCCCCCACACCTCACCACACACACCTCCACGGAACATATTCTCCTTCTCTTTATTTTTTTATAAACACATCACACACCACTTTTCGTAATCTGTTAACATATTTGAGGTTTGGTTGTGTGCTATTACTGCAGCCAAATCTTCCTAGATAAGGGTCTGCCTGTCTTCCGAATAGAAGTGGATTCCCCAAACCACTCACTTTTCTCAATGGTGAGTTTTTATGTCTTCCTCTCTTTGTTTGGTCTCTGGGATAGTGTACAGAATTTTCTACACAAGGCAAATCAGAAAATCCAATTCTTTAAGTATCAGAAGATGTTTTTCTTTATTGACAAGGAAGAAATTGTTACTATATGTCTGTCAATGGAAAAAACTTGTCCCCTTATCTCTTCAGAAAGCAGACACTGAAAGGATTTCCCACAAACAACTCCCACAGAAGGATTCTCCATGAAGATCTCTTCATGCTGCTTTCACCATTGACATCAGATGTGTTGGCATGCCTTGTGGTAGCGGTGCTTGTTTTTAATCCCAGCTTTAGGGGGTGAGGGTGGGGCTGGTGTATCTCTGAGTTCAAGATCACCCTGGTCTACAGAGTGAGTTCCAGGACATTCACAACTACACCTAGAAACCCTGTCTCAAAAAGCAAACAACAACAAAACAAAACCCAAACCAAACGAACAAACAAAAATGCATTGACACATGAAACCAATAGACTAATATTTGAGCTGCTTATTTCTTAGGTGCCATTACTTATGTAGCACTTTAGTTGACAAAGATGTGTCTATTTTTGAAATTTTTACTTTCCTTCTCTATAAAGTGTTCTATGTAATATGTACAATTTAAAGGAGAGTGGAGAGAGAAAAAAAAAAAGACACATGTCAGTAAAGAAATCCTATCCAAAAAATGCACTCCTCAGTGGAAGACGATGTGCCTAACCCTGTAGAGACTTGTCTCAGAGAAGGAGAACGCCTCCTAGCAGAAGGAGAGGGTATACCCACTCAGAGGCAAAGGAGAGGGGGGATGGGATGAAGAACTCAGGGAGAGAGGACCAGGAGGAGGAGAAAATTTGGAATGCAGATAAGTAAAATAATTAATTTTTTAAAATGTACATGTCTGTCCATCAGGAGACTTTCCCACATAACAGTTCCATTGCACACATACTGATGTCTCTCCATATGAATGGACACAGTCCTGTCCTGCTGTAATCTTGAGCTGCCCAGGGAACAGACTGTGTACACTGAAAATAGAATAGTTAAAGTTTGT